GTGGGGCTCCAATCAAGAGAATCTTGATTGCCTACCCACTAAAAACCCAAGAGAGGAACAGAACAAAGGAGTTGGCTAAGGCACGTGCCGACTAAAAAATCAACTTTATAATGTCATACTGCACGGGACGTCACAACAGACGGTATCGTCTAGTGGTCTAGGACGCACGGTTTTGATTACTTTCGAGCAAGTCAAACCTCCGTGCAACCTGGGTTCGAACCCCAGTACTGTCTTCCTTTTTTGCGGATTCCGGGCGCCATTGAGGCTACCGGTTCCCGTGCCTCTCTTTTTGCGTGCTGAGGAACGACTATCGCGTCTCAGTGAATTTGTCGCCCTGCACACGCGCGAGAGCCAGCACAGTCTGCGCGCTTACAAATCGGCTTGAGCTAGTCGACTCATCTGAGTTGGTCACTTCTCCAATGCGCGTGTCTATGACGATGCAGCCTGTATATCAACGTATTGTCGTCTCATTGTTCCGCTTGCTTTGTGGCAAAGAGAGACGTTGAAATGCATGTGTCTCTGCAATAACTATTCCTTGGCCATATTATTGCATATCCCGCCTGCAGCATTCTGTCCAGCAAAATCTGTATCATGCGCTTGGTTTCGCTGTCAGAGAGCACAGCGAGTCAATGAGAAACGGTGATTATGAGCCCGAGAGTGAATTTTATAGTAGCGTATACTGTTCATCTGCGCCGGAAGGGTTGAGCAGGCGAGCATCTTTGCCGGGAGAAGGCATGTTGCTCATATAGAATTGCTTGGCGAGTATTGATGAACTGGACGAGAATCTGAATTGACGGCATATTCACAATCTCCCATCGGCCGTACGAGCGGAAGTCTCGCAGTGGCAGGAATCCGGGCTCGCTCGATTGTCGCCGTCACCTTTGTGAAGGACCGTGGACTTGCTGACTGCGCGCGGCTTGCGATCAAATCAATCGATGCGAGCATCTGCGCACGGTGAGCCAAAAGAATGAAAAGGACTGCGAATTCAAGCATGTTTTCGGCACAGAAATGCTGATCCTGCTGGGAAGCGCTGGCTATTTCACCAGAAAACGCTGCTATACAGCCAGACCCATTGCCCTGAACCGCTCTTCAAGAGCTTCAACGTTTGGCATGACCTGAGCTAGCAGCTCGCGCTTTTCGCTGGCAGATCTCGTTTCTGTTGTGACGGTGAATCTGCTTGGCGGACGCGCTTTGATAGGCGTTTGCGGGACGAAATCACCCGCTGATGCGAACGAAGGCGAGGTCAAAGCCGATGTGGCGCCCGACTCGGGTAGCAGGTAAAAGTACAAGATTTCAATGACTTTGATCCTGATAGAACGGGTCAGTGGCGGAGCTCTGACCGTACGAACGCTACGAACCTGACTTGTTGAGCCACCGTTTTATCTTTGAGCACGCGAACGATAGTCGAAAGGCCGTCTAACGACTCGAATGCTCGAACGTTCTTCGGACTGTCGACAAGCGCTGCCAGCAAGCAATCCAATGTCGCCACCGAAACAGCCGCTGGAGACGAAGGCTGTAGAGAGAGCGCACGTTTTCGCGCGGAGCTTGGCGTCGGAGGCGGCGGCATGACCACTGGAGAGCCTGACGGCGCGGACGCGAGGAGTGGCGAGGCGACGTGCGATGGCCGGGACAAGTCGAGCACCGCCAGCAAGTACTGAAGAAATCAATCTCGAAAGTTAGACTATGCTTGTAACTGAAGGCTTGACGTAAGACGTACCTCGAGAGATGATCTCCGAGCAAACAGGTCGCGACTCGGCGTGTGCAGTAGCACAAGCCCTTGCAGCAGATTCAAGCTCCGTGTCAAGTTTGATCTGAGCAGATCCGGATCTGAAAATGATGCATTAGCACGCAACTCGGTGTCGGTTCCGGCTAGTCCGAACCAGGTGTCGATGAAGCCAGCTCTTGCGCGGCAATTGTCCTCCCTATCGACTCGAGCAGTACAGCAGTGACTGATTTAATGCATGAGCTCATGTCTTTGCATCTCGTGGACGTACTCACGATTTGTTGCAACGCAATTCTGCGACTGTCGAAACGCGTCGAGGCGCGCTGAATTGTCGTCAACGATGGACGACATGACGCGCTCCAAACGTCCGAGCGCCTTGCTATGCTCCAACAAGGTTGACCGGATGCTCAGTAGCGCCTCTGCGGCCTGCTCGAGCGTGAGCTGAAACATCGCCGAGACGCGAGAAGTCAACCCGAGCCAGGTTGCGACCACACCACTTTGAAGGCCCTAGCTCGGCATTTCATGGCACCCTCTCGACGACTTGCGACAGCTTCTGTTGATCCTGACGAGTATGTGTCCGGCAGTGTCTCGGCAGGGCGATCGCTGCCGCTGACTCTCACTAGACTGTCATCATCAGACAGCCTGTTTGACGGAGACGACGACACAGATGTAGAGCCTTGTGGCCCGACACTGGCTGCCACGGTACATTTGCCGCCGATCCCAGGTTTGCACCTGTACCGCAACGCCATTCCAGTCGAGATGCAACATAATCTCGCAGCGGAAATGTCACAAACCATCTGGCCAAACAATTCAAATCAAGCCATGCTTTTCGAGTCGCCACACGTGCGCAACCTGCCGGCATTTCTGACGCCACTGCTCGACAAGGTGCTCCCTGCCGCCCTCGAGGATCTGCCGGCACACGTGTACGACATCATCTTCAAGTCGGAGCTGCCTCGTCAAGTCATTATGAACCTCTATGAGCCAGGTCAGGGCATTTCGCGCCACGTGGACCTTGCGACCCGGTTCGAGGATGGCATCGTCGGGATCTCGCTGTGCGGATCGACGGTCATGGAGTTTGAGCGTCAAAGCACCGTGCACGCCCTCTTACTGCGACCGGGAGACGTGCTCGTTTTGTCGGGCGAGGCACGGTGGCAATGGAAGCACGGCATCGCTTACCGTCACGAGGACACGATCAGCGAAGACGGCGATACATACACCTTGTGCAGACGCACTCGGATGAGTATCACGCTGCGGAGACTGCAAACAGGCGCCGATCTTGTCGGCAATTGATTCATCAAACCACGCGCACGGACCGCTTCTGTTTTGAAAGTTCAAGACACGCCCAATTTACTGCGCTTGATCGCTCCCCGTCACAGGAATGTGATTGACTACGTGGAGAGCCTGCCGTTCATCCGTCCTGCGTTCGTCCGAATTGGCGGTCCGAGCGCGCGCGGAGAGCTCTTGATGAGACACTGACACGAAGTCAGAGCCGCAATCATCAGCTGGCATGCGCAAGTATTTTCTCCCTCTTCATTCTACAACACCATCTTATTTGTTCGCCATGTCGGCCACTCAAATTATTGCACTCGTCCGTGCAAAAGCACCTACAGCAAATCCGTTTCTGGCAATCGCCGCCACGATCCATGCCCGGGTATACCTGCCCATGCCAGACAGCTTTCTGGTAGCATTGAGGATCTTGCATGGCGTTTATGGACTGCAAGTCGTTGGCATGAACTAAAGGAACTCGCCTTGTGCTGACAAGTACCATTAGTCAAACTTTGCTGCTGTTGACCTCGCTTGGAATCCGCGTATGGCGCAACAAGGCCGACATGTGGGTGTTTCGTAGGCGCGAAACGTCAAGAGGTACATATATTGTGCCTCATTTTGCCATAGCGTGAGTTGGTTTCGCGCTCAGGTACAGATCCGATGCAGGGTGCTCAGTGGTTCATTTCCCATCGTCTAGCTGGCAGCTAGCTATGATCGTCTCGCTGGCATGTATGCAGCCGTACATCGTAATGACTTTTGATCGCACGCAAGGCCGCGAGTGGAAAGGTTATTTGGCTGGCAGGACTCTGGCCTATGTGCCGGCTTGGCTTGCGACGTGGTTTGCAGTGAGTCGTGTGAAACAAAAAAAAACCGTGCGATTAGGACGAGCCCTGAACTTTTGTACGGCAGCTGTGGTCATTGACGGTTGCAGTCGCCTTGCCAAAGGTCTCGCACAGACAACGGCAACCATTATGGTCAACGGCAAGCTTTTTGAACGGACACTTTATCGGCCTGGCCGTCCTATGCATCGCGAGCATCTCCGTACCAACTTACTTTGCCTCTACGATTCACGACAATGCTATGGCCAATATGGCAACGTTTAGAGCTGGTTGTTTGCGCAATGCTCCGCTTTACGCCACAATGTCGCCGGAAGCCGTTGACGCCGCCTTGGCAGAGCTCGCCATACCGCTGCAGGTCATGCTCACCGAGCTTGACCGCTTTCTGCCATTCTTCCGTGTCGCATGGGGCTTGTGGCTGTTGTGGATCGTCTACACATGGAGCGTAAGCATTGAGCGCTACCGCGTCGACTGCAAACATCCAAATCACTGACTTGCCGTTGATAGTTTTTTGTCATGATTGCGACGACCTACTTCCGTTCACTGCGCAGGAACATGAACAAAGTGGCGAGCATGGACGGTGCCAATACTGAGCAAAGACAACTGCGCACGGCTTGGAAGTTTACCGTCATGACGGCCATGCTCGTCACCATGACTGGTTTCGCATATGCTTTCGCTTCCTTGTTTACGTTCGCTTTCCCGAATCTGGCACTCAAGACGTCGACCGGCTTGCAAGCTGTGACGATGGTGTCGCTCTTTGGCGAGGGAGTCTTTGGCACGTTCGTCTGCGTGCTCGGTCTCGCTCAAGTCTTGTGGGGCTCTCAAAGGGACGCGACCACGGCGTCGAATACTCGACACCAACTTTCAAACCGAGGTCTGTCAAACACGACGGGCGCGTACAGTCGATCTTGCGTTCGCGACTCTGACGAATCTCAAGTCGAGCCCACACAAGTTCACGTCCAAGTGCAAACGCGTACAATGGTCGAGACTGACAATGGCCCGACGTCTGTTGTTCAATTCGAGTTGGACAATTACTCAAAGTCAGACTTTGACGAAAAACTCTGATGCTAGTCGATATCATCTCTTGTCCATCGTGTTATGTTGTCTGTGTGTCTCTCATTCCATAAAGTTGCGTGAGAATGCAGTGCCGGGTATTATCTAAAGTCTCGCTTCAGAAGCAGTGTCGAGAAGGTCGAGCACGCGCTGGCCTTCTCTCACACCACTTTCCCAAGCGCCGGCCGCGCTACCTCTGTGATGCAACGAAGTGTGCTCGCCAGCGAAACCGAGTTTGCCTTGCCAGTGATGACGACCAAGTTCGACAAAGTCAAGCGGAGAAGCAGACACGCCATCAACAGAGTCTGTTGTGACGGGCGTTGACGTTGCGCCGCGACTCAGAGGATCAGACAAC